GCCGAGCCAGCTGAACCCAGGTTTTTTTAGTGAGCTTGTTACTGCTCCCCCTCCTCCTTTTTCTTCCGGCCTTGGGACCGGCAAAAGCGGAGTTTAAAATGTACTGGTTAAATGTAAACAACATATCAGTGTGTTTGGATCAATTTCACTGTTTCCTCATGTTACAACCACTGTGATTACCTATAACCCAGCTAATTTAAAAAGATAGGATATCAAAATAAAAGCCCATTGTTATAGGAGTCAATTAGAAACCAGTGTTGTAGGGCTGAGCTACAAGGAAGCATTTTTGTGTTCATATTGCGAGAAGAAATATTCTTTCTCTGAACTTTTTTTATTCTCTGTTATGAAGGAAAAAATAATTGGTTGAAGAAGTCAAATATGATTAAATGGATGAAAAGATTCAAATATTAAACAAGATTTGGAATATAGAGAAATGATACAAATGAAGATGCAAAGATAAAGAAATAACAATATAAATGTGAAGTTTTCTTTTATTAACCCATGTATCATTATATCATGTCACAGAGAGACTATTTATATTGATTCATTCTAAGATTTATTGAGAAAATGAAGATATAATCTAATGAAGAAATGGTTAAGATGTTAGGTTCAAGAGAAATGATACAAAGAAGATTTACTGATGAAAGCATGATACAAATGAAGATGTGATGCTGAAGAAATGATAAAAAAGGAAGTAATTAGTTACTGCAAGATATAAACCAAAGAAAAAAAATGCTTTGAACAAATATTTATAATCATGAAACTTAGCTCATTATAGAAAAATGAAAATTATCTGGAGAAACAACTTGAAAATGAGATTTTAAAAAATATATTTTCTAAGATTTGTTGAAAAAATGAAGATGTAATCTAATGAAGAAATGGTATAAGCAAAGATTTTAGGTTCAAGAGAAATAATACAAATAATACAAAGAAAATATAATGGTAAAAGCATGATACAAATGAAGATGTGATGCTGAAGATATGATAAAAAATGAAGTAATTATCTACATAATCTGAAGAAAAAAATATTTTGACCAAAGATTTATAATGATGAAACTTAGCTCATCATATAAAAATGAACATTCTCTTGAAAAACAACTTGGAAATTAGATTGAAAAAAATTTCTGGAGTTGATCTGAGAAGAGCAGGGGCAGTTTCAACTTGGCCCACCAAAGAAGTGGGGTAAGTACTTGCTCCACTTGCCTTATTTATTTGTATTGACCAAAATAGAGGAACAGCAAACTTTTGCAAATCTCCAGAGAAAATGTTCATTTATCATAGATGATCATTTATTTCCTGTTTAGCTGTATCTCCTATAGACTCATAAAAAAAAAAAATACACCTAGATTTCACATGACATACTGAGATTATTGATGGTGAAGTACAATTAGGATTATATATAGGTTAGAAACACAAGGTACAGAAGAACCTATCTGTAGGAGGGATTTAGTTACAGAACCAAATTGTCCTTTAAGGAAAGGTATCCTCTTACCGAGAAATTGCTAAATAGTAAAACTGGTAATTTTGCCAATGAAAACTGTCCTTTTTATAGAGATGTCCACAAATGGGAGTGTCCTTTCATGGAGGTTCTATTGTAATAAGACCAAATCCAAATAAATAAATAGTGAGTGAAGATGTAACGGTGTTGTTACCATCATTCAGAAGTTCTGAATCTCTCTGATGAGAAATTCACAGTTTGGTTACTTGAACTCACTGTTGGGACAGGACTTGTGAAAAAATCAAAGGCCATTGAAGTAGAAAAATATTATCAATGCAAAATTTATTCCTAGTTGTAGATTTTATTATTCCTATAATAAGTGGTACTGGCCATGATAATCATAGTTAGTTACTGCTTTTACTGTAAGTACACCACATGTCTAAATATGAAGAAAGCAGTTCGACTTTTGCACTTACAAATGTGCCAGAACCTTGTTGTGTCTTTGCATATTTGTTCTTTGTGTACAATTTACATTATTTTAATTTAATGTATTTGTGCATTAAATAGGACATAAAATAAAGTTATGGAGTCCAGCTTTAGGAAAATAGTAGTCTTGTTGCCTTAAATTTCTTTCATGGCCCGGATAGACATGACAAGTTACTTTTTACTCACAGGTGGAATTGGACTTTTTTATAATTAGAAAAAAGTGTCCAATGCAGGATTCAATCCTGGGTTGTGACTGTGGAATACCAATGTTTTATATCACTCATCCACTGACCTTCCAATCTTTATTGTTGAAAATCAACAAGGTGTGTATCACTTCTACTCCAACACTGTCATCTATGTGTAGAGATGGGGGGATTACCTGGAGATGTAGATTGAGAGCAGCTTGATCCAGAGGTGATAGGACTGGATATTGAGCCACTTGTAGTCGTTGCTCGCACCAAGCTGGGACTTCTTCAATCTGGGAGACACACAGAATTTTAGCTTCCACAGTGAGTGGACATCAACAAGTAATCCATCCATCCATTATATCAGCATATCATTATCATTTCTCTCATCATTTTTATCTTTAATTTCTTCAAATGATGAAGTGTTAGCTTAGATTCTAACATTATCATTAAATTATGAAAAAGGCATCTCCTTATCATGCAACTGAAAGTTGCTGATGGCTTGCGCCATCTATCGGAATAAATATCAACTATTCTCGTTGATAACACAAGCCATCAGCAACTTTCAGTTGCACGATAAGGAGATGCCTTTTTTCTTAATTTATGCACCTTATCCCAGTACAATATCACATTTGTACTATTTTTTCACATTATCATTAAAGTTTCCTAAAAATAATGGTAAATTTTGAGTTATAGCTTATCCTTATATTTATTATTATCTGTGGGCTATCATCTTATATAAAAAGAAACTATCAGAATTTGACTTTTAAATATCTGTATCATTACATAGTTCTTTGAAATACTGGAGGGGTTTGAGAAATATCATTTGGTCTCAATTGCAATGAATGTCAAGCCTCTATTTGTACCTCCCAGTGTAAGTACAGGAGGAGGGGGAACAGTAACAAGCTCGGTAAAAAACCTGGGTTCAGCTGGCCCGGCTGATAGTACCCTGTAAGGGCTCCTAATCTAGGGATACAGGATGAGCAGCGTTTGTACTCCATGTTAGGAGCGGCTGCACATGGCGTCTGTTCCTCATGTCAGAGGCGGCCATTTCTTTTGGAGCTAAGTCGGCCTGCCACTGAGTAGTGCTCCCAGTCTTAATGACAAAGGCAGACGCATTCTACTTCATCCAGTGTGAAGATAAGAAAGAAGAAGAGAAGAAGAAGTGTAAGTACAACTCAGGTATGGCTAATGGGATGGCTAGAACAAAAGAGGACTGAATGAAATCCGATATAAGCTTTTAACTTGATTCTTGTTGTTGTTTCTTATCCCCTTGTGTAAAGATTACACGAATTCCATGAGTTCATGCTCCTCGAGCTGTTTTATGATGAGCAGCGGCCTCTCCCAAAGGTCCTGTTTAGTGCATCTAATGCAAGCCAAAATGTGTTCTGGAGCTGCAGGTACCAAACTACACTTCATTCTTGTAAAGAAGGACACTCTCTTGTCTTTAAGGGGAGAAATGTCCCCAAAGAGTAGAAGAACCAAATTTATTTGGCTAATGGCATAGATGGAAGAAGACAAACCACTTCTGTGTCAATCACTGCTGAGAAAACTATATTTGATTAAATATATCAGATCAAATTGGGAGAATATTTTTCCATTTGGTCACCAAAAGTTAAACTTGACTTGAAGGATGCTAGCAACAACAACATCATTATATAAGGTAACAAGACCAAAACCAAAACAATAAACTGTGTGTGACATTTTGATACTACTGAAATGCTACACTTAATTTATAGATTTGGTCTACTTATACCTTATGTTTCTAATAATCTATAATGCAAAAATTGAACCACATATCTGTAAAAGCAATATTCAAAGTGGGCTTGATGGGCTCGCGTCTAGTCATGCATAAGGGGGATTGGGGGGGGGGCTGTGTACAAATATATATTTTAAATATATATATATATATATTTGGATGAAATGCCCATAGAAGAGTTCTTAAACTCGAAAGCTTACTAATTATGATAAATTTGGAAAAGAAACCTTTTGCGGAGTAGTCAATTAAATATTTAAAATATTTTTCTGAAATTTCCAACACGATGGAAGTTAGAGAAGCTTCTTGTGGCAGTATAGAAAGTTACCTGGGCAGGTAACGGAGGGTATGGAGCTGAATGCTGGACAAGTTCATGGTCCAGTCCTGGAGGGAGATCTGCCTGTTGGAGAATGTTCAGTCTTGAAGGTGTCAGGGAGTCCTGGTTCAAGTGTCGGACTTCCCGCCATATTGCTAGGACTCTCTGTTGTTCCACCAGGTAGTCCAGAAGATCCTGGAGCTGATTGGCTGGGAAGTGTTTCATGCTGGGAATTGTCTCCTGAGGAGTCCCCACACATTGGTGAGATTGTGTTCCACAAAGTATAGATCAAATTTTACCTTCAGTTGAGTCAGATGATCTTCCAGTTCTGTGAAGGTGACAGTTGGGATGGATGACAAGTTGGAAATCAATGTATAGGAATCCATGGCAGCTTCCTGTAATAAGACAACTAAATTAAAATATTGTTTTGAATATATTTAGAAACATTCAAGACCTGGATTCACACCCACAAGGTACAAACTTTTTACTAAAATTGATAACGTGGACAATCTTGTATAAGCCCAACTCCACCCAGTGTATGTGAGTAACTGAATAGGTCTATGGCAACTTGTGAGGTGGTGGTACAAATCCCAAATACACATGGTACAGGCCATGATAATCATGGTGGGTAGTTAGTGACTGTTTTTACTCTAAGTGCACCTCATGTCTATACAGATTAAAAGCAGCTAGACTTTTACACTTTCAAATGTGCCAAAGAGCCCCAATTGGTTACTTGCATTCATTGGTGAGGTTGGACTCCTTAACAAAGTGGGGGTCATTGAAGAAATTCTTCAGGAAAAGTGTCCAATGCAGGATTCTGTCCCAGGTTGTGGCTGTAGAAAATCAGGCTGGTTAAACCGTTTGGTTTACGACCACTACGACCCGGGTTCGATCCCCGCATTGGACACTTTTTCTGTTAAAAAAAAAAAAAAAAAATGCTCCAATGGCCCCCCGATTCTTGCAAAAGTCCAACCCCACCAGCGAGTGCAAGTAACCAAACGGGGCTCTGGCACATTTGTAAGTGCAAAGTCGAACTGCTTTCACATGTGTAGACATGTGGTGCGCTTACAGTAAAAAGCAGTCGCTAACTACCCACCATGATTATCATGGCCTGTACCACGTGTACTAGGGATAAGCAAAAAAAAAAGTGGTCTTTACCACTTCTCCGTCGACCCCTATTATGGCAACTTGTAAAACTACAGAGCCAAATCTACATGCATAGACTTGAGGTAAACTAACAGTACAAGTGTAGTTGCAACTCTCTACCTATCAAGATTACCAAAGCCTGTACCACTATACACTCATGGGCAAAACTTTGGTAAATGGAGAGTCTTTGATGTCACCATTTTTTTTAAAAAGGAGACAGAGGCTGTTCACACTTGGTTATCTTGTATGTCTTCAATAAAGGTCACTGTAATATATTTCAGAGTTATTGTCTGATATACATGCTAAAAGGGTACAACTTCCTGAAGTTTTGTCCATGAGTGTGTTTGCTTTTATATTGAGATAAGTACAAAAATGATAAGTGATTGATAGGAGCCACACACTCACCTTTGGCAGTTCCTCAGCCACTTTCTCTGGAAGAGCTGAAGTCTCCTGTGAAACAATGAGATAAGTAATTACATTATTATCACATATTACAGTAGAATTAACTTTCTTGTAAAGGACAACACCTAGTTGGAGAGCCAGAGTGTCCCTTAAAAAAGAGCTTTTCTCTTACTGGAAAGTTTCTAATTAGTAAAAATGATAATTTTGGTGATGAAAAGTGTTCTTTGTAGAGAGGTGGTTCTAGCCAGAGTGTCTTCTCATGGAGGTTCTGCTGTATTTTGTGATTTAGATATGATGTATGTGTAATGAGCTAATGCTCTAGGATTTTGCTTTTGTTATGCTATACTATATAGGATTTTGAAATATTGATTTGGAGAAAGTTACTCAGAGTGCCATGAACAGATAAAAGGACAATCTTGGAAATAATTAACACTGGTAGATTCCAAACAGCAAAGAAAAATCTCTTTCAGACCTATAATGAGAGTAAAAGGTTTAGAAAGCTATTGATGATAGGAAAGAAGGAAGATAAGAGAAAGACCTGAAACGAGTTGGCTATAAGGGATCAAGAAAGCTACCAGAAGGTCACTATATGAACTGTAAGTAATGGTTATTAAAAGATCAAAAATTGGAGAATATTTGTCTATATATATATATACATAGTCACCAGAAGTCAAACTAGATGGATACTAACAACAAAACAATGCTAGATAAGGAATCATTATTTACAAAATCTTAATGAGGCAGAAACTTAAATGCAAAGATGGATTAGAGGATATCTTTTCTAACTGTTTAGAGAGGGGAAAAATAGAGAATTAAAAAAAAAATCAATTTATTGATTTACATTTTCACTTTTTATGTTGTTTTTCTTGCTTCCCTCTTTCTCTTTCTTATTTTTTTTTGCTTTTTCTTCTGTCTATATCATTGTTTCCTTTGTCTCACTGCTTTGTTCTTATGCATACCTCTGGTTAATCCTGTATAGGGTTAGTGACCCTAAATAAAGGCTTTTTGTTGTTGTTGTTGATTTACATTTTCATTGTCTCTCATTACATTTTTTAGGTAAGAAAAGGTGCTATTTGATTACAGATTAGAAACCTAAGATAACAAGACTAAATCTGATTTAATAAATTGTGTGTGACATCTAAGTACCAGAATTATAATATCATCAGACAAAAGTACTAACTTTCAGTACATTTATCTGATGATTGCAAAGACATTGCTGTTACCAAAATGTCACACAATTTATTAATTTGGGGATTTGGATTTGTTATACTTTAGGTTTAAGATTAGAAAGAGTTGGATTAAAGAGAGAAAGAGTCAGATTAAGCACAATTTGGATTATAAATTATACAGATGAGATTATAAGTCCACATCCAAATAAAATTAGGCATGGGTAACAGTGCTATTATAAATTTCAGACAAAAGTACTGAGAATGGCAAAAAGTCAATCTGATATTTGTGCAGCTTCAGTTTCCTCAATGAGAAATAAAATATTCATAGACACTGACCTCCTCAATGGTGTGAGCTCCTTCTTCAGAAGGACTAGATCCCATCAACTCTGGGTTAGTTTCCAATTGCTGAAGAAGCTGCACAAAGCATTCACAATTAGTATCAGTTGGATTTAAAAAAAAAATAATAATCTCAAGAGGTAATAAGATCAAATAGGTAAACTTTAGAGTCAAACCCTGTAACAACATCACACTTGGGACAAAGATTTTATTGAGAAAATCTGATTGTGCAACTAAAAGATGGCTTGCACCATCTGTCTGAATAAATAGCAACAATCAGTTATTCCATAATTGGTCAAATTCCATTTATTGATTAATCAGGCTAACCACATATGGGTTTAAGGATGTTGGCCCTTACACTATTTTGGTCATTGAGGTACAGCTTGTACCATGCTGATGAGGGCCAACAGTTTGAATCATGGTTAGCTTTTATTGTTTAATCAAGAAAGGGTATTTGGTCAATTATCTTCTTCTTTTCTTTCTTATCTCCATTCAATCATATTACGGTATCAAATTGTGACCCTTGATGGTGTCTGTTTGACAACCATTATGACTGGGTGAAGTTGAATGTGTCTGCCTTTGTCATTAAGACTGGGAGCACTACTCAGTGGCAGGCCGACTTAGCTCCAAAATAAATGGCCGTCTCTGACATGAGGAACAGACGCCATGTTCAGCCGCTCCTAACATGGAGTACAGACGCTGCTCATCCTGTATTCCCGGATTAAGAGCCCTAACAGGGTACTATCAGCCAGGCCAGCTGAACCCAGGTTTTTTAGTGAGCTTGTTACTTTGGTCAATTATGAAATAATTAAAAAATCAACAATTAGTTGATATTTATTCCAACAGATGGCGCAAGCCATCAGCAACTTTTAGTTGTACAATCAGGAAATACCTTTTCTCAATTTATCCATCTGATCCCATTACAATTTCTCTTTTGTACTATTTTTCACCAAGATTTTATGTGCTTTTAGAACCACGGTTATAAAATTAGGACTTCAAACTTGGGACAATAGAATTATGATGTTATTATCACAAGCTGCTGTTATAATGAGCTTACACTATTATTACATTTGTATTTGGTAGATATAGACAATTCAATAAGCAGTATAATCCCCTTGGCAGAGCTGACTGCTATAGGGCATGTCACCAGGTGGCGGATAGGGGAATGACCTTCAGATATGAAGGCCAGCTGCGAAACAAGAAGAATAACTCTGATGAATGAGCAGTCGTGGACCAACAGCAGTATTGTTAGAAGAGGAGTAGATCTCTTTAAAAATCCTGAGTTCAACTGACCCAGTTGATAGACCTCAGCAAGGGTCCAAATCCAGGGATGCGGAGGAGCTGCATCTCTACTCATGTTAGAGTCGGCAGCAAAGGCTTCCATGTTAGAAACGGCCTCAAACTACAGGCAAAGTCAGACTTTCACCAAAGTGTGCCTGGATCATGGTGCCATGATCAACGAAAGCTGCACCCCTACACCCCATGTCATGAGATCATGGAATTCGTGTAATCTTTACACAAGGGGATAAGAAACAACAACAACAACAACAGCAGCATAATCTCTATTATTTTTTTAAAAGACAATATTTCACATTTTCTATAATTAAAACTTCCTTTTTTTTTTACAATCCTAAAACCTTTCAAAATACCATCTTAAATTCATAGTTGAAATAAAATGTACAATATTCAAAAGAGAATTAGTGAGGATTTAAATATGAAGGGTTGGATGTTATATAAAGTTTTAATTCAGTGAGATCAAGTAAATTATAGTCACAGTTTTTGTCAAATTTGGTTTTTTAACACCCTGACTATGAACCCACCCAGCACAAGAAACTCCTCTTCAATCTCCGTTTTATTTTTCTATGACAACAATATAAAACCTTGGTCCCAAGTGATATTTCTGTAGCAAAGTTTGATTGTAGATGATCTTATATTCTATGTTTACATATATAAAGATTTTGAAAATAGAGCAATCCATAAATAAATCTTTAATTAAAAAGGCATATATTGGATCAAAATCTCATTTATTTTACCAATATTTCAGTTGGCTGAACGCCAACCGTTATCAAGGTATTATAAGAAATATATTATATTGTAACAAAGTAATTATTAATTTTATTATTTTTATTAACAGAGTGGTCATTTTTTTATGTTTATATTTTGCTACTCTGTAAATTTCCCTCATGGCTTATCTTTTGTTTACCATTCATAGTTTGTCCTTGCCCTAAATAAATTGCTGCACCTTCCTGAAGTTTTTGTCTTTCCTAATTTTCCAAGTGGCAATATTATATAAGCCAAATATTTCAAAAACTTAAATCTGTTGACGTTATGTGGCGCTGAGTTTGTTGTTGATACACATTAATATGTTATAATACCTTAATAAAGGTTGGCGTTCAGCCAACTGGAATATTGGTAAAATAAATGATATTTCTGATCTAATATATGCCTTTTTAATTAAAAAAAAAAAAAATACAAAATAATTCACATAGTTTTTCAAGGAGTATTCTAAGCCCAAATTCTCCACTTTATGACTTACCTGGATACAATCATTGACAACGGAGATTATCAGTTTCCGCTGTTTACTTTCTGGATTCTAACACAAACAACAAGCAAAAATTAGTTTGTTAAAAGATGGAGAGAGAGAGAGAAAGAGAGACAGAAAACAAAGCTATCAAACAACAAAGTAGATTTTATAATCCACTTAGATATATAGAAAAAATAAAAGGTATGAGAGTGGTACAAGAAAATAAGATCTAATCCAAATAAATTAATGTGATAAAAAAATAACTATAAATAAATGCTAAATATTTTAAATACTTGGGGTGTGCAACAGTCAATGTATGTCTAATAGATG